TTGAGACATATATAGTAATGATACAAATGAGAGTGGGATGATACTTTACAGCGGAGAGAAAGAGAATCCAGAGTAGAAGTATCAGAATGGTAACTGATGAATCTGATTGCCTTAGATTCAATCCTATCAAAGAGATAAGTAATAAAGAAAAAAGCACCCCAGATTTGGAAGCAGAAATCTATGCAGGAACGAATTATTCCTTTACAGATATTAAGTAACTGAAAAATGAAAAAGAACTGCCGAAGCCGATACAGAATCACGAAATATTAGAAGAAGCTATAGAATTTTAAAGTATGTGACTCCTCCAAGGTATATGTTAGAGCCAATCTGGATAAAATATTTGTTAATAGATTTAAAGGAGTAAATTTCGTTAGGTTCTAAGACAATAGGGCTATCAGAAATAGAAGATAATACAGAGATAGCCAGAAACTGTGTTTTGGAGCCATTCATTTGGACTAAATCATGTGTACCCTACTACGATACCCTATGCAAATCGGAGTTGCTAGTTGAAGAAAGAGTGATACGATACTGATGATGAGTAGCGGATGAAGGTTGTGAAGAGAAACTAGCAGAAAATTGAGGGGGAGATTCGTCGGTAAAGGCTTGGAGAAGGGAAGAAGATGGGGACTGGAGAAGATAGTTAATAAAGAGAAGGAATAGAGTAGTTGAAAGGAAAAGAGTTCTGTGGATCACCACAGAAAAATTGTGAATAAGGTAGATGTTGGGTCGTCAACATCCACAGGTACAAAACGGCCAGAGAAAAAACTGGAAATAAAAAAAATAAAGAGAAAAGGTAAAGCCATAAGCAGGAAGTTCGGCCAACGGAGCCTTGTGCCACACTCTGTCAAGAGCCTTAGAGATATCAAGAGTGACGACAAAGAATTTCCCAATGTTCTTCAGAGAAGATGACCATACATGAATGGGATAGGACAGGAGGTCACCAATGAATCTTGCCTTGTGGAAACCATACTAGTGATTGAAAATAAGAGAGACAGATTCAAGATGTTTCAAGAAGTGAGAGTTGTGCAAAGTTTTAAATACTATAGCGATAGCAGAGGTAAGGGCAAGTCGATAGTTGGAAGGAATAGAATGGTCACCCTTCTTAGGAACAGGCTGAACTAGAGCATACTGCCATGATGATAGATAGATAGTAGTTTCTAGAATAAGGCAAAAAAATAACGACAAAGCAAGGGAGACAGTTCATCTGCAGTTTGTGAAGGAGCTTGGCAGGGATTCATTTGGTCAAGATGATTTGTTCGTCTTCAGAGAGAGAAGAAAACTGATGACTTTGCATAAAGAAAAGATAGGGAAGGGAATAGGGTTAGAGAGGGGTAAAGTACGAGGCACAAATGTGTAGGAATCGCTTTCGGAAGGGATGACATAAAAAAAGGAGCCCAAGAGATTGGCTTTGTCTGTAGGAGAGCAAGCTATTATCATTATTGTTATCATTATTATTATTATTATTATTATTATTATTATTATTATTATTATTATTATTATTATTATTAATATTATTATTATATTATTATTATTTTTATGATTATTATTATTATAATAATTATTATTATTATTATTATTATTATTATTATTATTATTATTATTATTATTATTATTATTATAATTATTATTATTATTATTATTATTATTATTATTATTATTATTATTATTATTATTATTATTATTATTATTATTATTATTAATATTATTATTATTATTATAATTATTATTATTATTATTATAATTATTAATATTATTATTATAATTATTTTTATTATTATTATTATTATTATTGTTATTATTATTTATTACTATTATTATTATCATTATTACTATTATTACTTATTATTATTATTATTATTATTATTATTATTATTATTATTATTATTATTATTATTATTATTATTATTATTATTATTATTATTATTATCTTGGCCAGCGTATGCTTGAGGATTATCTTGTCTACTGCATCAGGCACCCACTGGCCTTTAGACAAATTGAAATTTTTTGGACGTTTCAATGACGCCTGATTCCACTATCTTGTGCTTATATGGACATGAGCTTCTAAACATCATGGTGGCACCATTCCAGTTGATAGTATGCCCGTGTTCCCTAATATGAACAAAGATATCAGAGTTCTCTTAGCCATATCTGACTGATCTTTTGTGTTCGGTAATTCTCTGCTGCAGAGAACGACCTGTTTGACCAATGTATGCCTTGAGGCAGTTATTGCATTCAACTTTATACACTCCGGCATTGCTCTTTTTTTTATTTTATTGGTATTTACTAACTGGCTTCTCAAGGTTTTAGGGTATTTGAATACTAAAGGGGACTCTTTGCCAAGGTTTTGGTTAATTTCTTCTAGGGCACAACTTAATAACTAGTTCCTTTCGTAAAATTCAAAGTAGAATGGAAAAATAATGATATATATATATATATATATATATATATATATATATATATATATATATATATATATATATATATATATATATATATATAT